AAAAACTCCCGCACAGACAAGTATACCAGCAGGGAACTTGCTCTGCTGGTTGGGTGTTGGTGTATTTATAGCTGCACCTTCACAGGGAAGGTTCTGCTTTACCAGCAGACCTGAGAATAGCACCATCTATACACCTAAGAACTGTGCAACGCAGGGAGTGAAATTACTTAGGCCAAGACAAACAATGTTGTCTTAATGATACATTTTGTAAAGAAAGAAAATTTAGTTTGGTTCTTGAGGTTTTTTTTCATGACTTGGCAAATATGAATTTTTAAATACCATTACAATATCAGATGCTGTCATCCAAGAGATTGGGACAATCCAGATGATTTAGGAAAAGTCTTTTATTTTTAAGTTCCTAAAAAACACAGGCTGTAAGAAGGAGCAGTTCTGCTATCAGAAAGCAATTCTATTTGGAGCTGTTTCAGATAATTAAAGGATCATCAAGCTGTTACCTGCCAAATTATCTTCCAAGAACTGCAGCAGTAGACAAGGCAGGCATTCAGTGAGCTGCCACTTCCTGGTATTCCAAAAGTCAAGCAGCAAGATGCAAGCTCACATCCCTGTCAGGGAAGTATGGATGCTTCTGATGGTGTGCTGGAACTTCTTCCATGTTCCAAAGTCCTGTTAGACTAACAACATCGTCAGCTGAGCACTTGGGTTTGTGTCCTCTCACCTCTGCTTAGGGTTAGTTGCCATTTTAGACAGCAATACAAACTCTGAGTGTGAACAAAAGCTGACATTTGCACTACTCAAGTTTATTCTGGCTCTGAACCCAAGTTCCAGTGGAATCCATTTTAAATTTTTTTTTTCATTTTTGCTCATGCTGAGTGTTTGCATTGGCAAAGCCACAAGCAATGGCTAAAACTGGGATGCAGACATAATGTAAATAAAGCTACAGAAAAGGACTACCTGGCAATGCCAGCAGCAGACTGCTGAGGTCTAACAGATGTGTGCCCTCTTTGGGCCTTCCCAGTTCTCTTCCTGTATCTAAGAGGTTTCCATAACCCATTAAGTTTTAAAGCTTGTGTATTAATGTTGGAAGGAAGTGAGTAATGAAAACCTCTTCTTTATGCCCAGCTCCTAAGAGAATTCCAATGCACAAATTACAGCATTTGGAAATGTAAATGCTTTGGAGAACTAGATCTTGGACACAAAACCAAACATAAATACCTGGACCTTCCCAAACCCTACCAAAAATTCTTGACAGCATTTTCAAGGGCTCTGCAGGAATTCATGTGACCCGTCTTCCTACTATTCAATGGAAAAGAAGAATGACTGTCAAGGAAAATCCTCTATTTTTTGTCTGGGAAAAAAAATTGAACTGAGAAGCAAGACTTTTCAGGTGGTTATCAAAACATTCAAGTGATTCAGATAAAATGACTGAGGTCAAGACAACTTAGAAGACTCTCTCACTGCAATAAACCCCATGTTTTCAGGGGAAGCATAAAGACTGATGCTGAGAACAAAAAAGAAGGAAAAAGCAGAGCAAAGCTAACAAACTGTGGTACAACCAGACTCAGAACTAAGTAATCCAGAAACTCTCTGTCCTAACAGGGAAAAAAAAAAGTTCCTCATGGACCTACTAGTTTTTAAAAGCACAGCTACTGCACTGTGGCACTACCAAACAGAATGAGTCCCATTCCATGCCTTGTGTATTTCCAGAAACCTGTTAGGATTTTCCTCCCAGGATAAGCTAAATTACTTATTTGTATTCCTGAAGCCATTTCAATATCCCTGTCACTTGAGAACAGAACAAACAGGGAAACTTCATATGAGGACAAGAAATCTGGAACGCACCAATTGAATATTTCTTTTCTTACCGCATTTCCTCATGTTAACGATAGTCGTGTTGAAAAAAAAACCCGCAGAAACTCCCCAAAATCTCTGGGCAGCAAGCAGCTGCAGCAGCTGATTCTTGGATTAGCTCCTTTCGGCTGTACTGGAGAAAGACCTTAGGAGAAGGGGGAATGGAAGATGGGGAGTTGCAAAGGTCCTTACGGTCTGAAAGTGGAAGAACAAACTGAGATTTTCAGGGTGCATGATTACACAGCGTCAGAAATTAATTCTAACTCACTGAACTAGGTTCTCGAGATTATTTGGTACCGTTATCATGTGATTGCCAGCATTCCTCACATGCTAAAAAATTCCAACCCAGTTTTCCAAATTTCTGATTTCCTGAAAACAAGTAAGAGCAGGCTGCAAAAGCAGCAAATTCGGGGGGGGGGGGGGGGGGGGGGGGGAGAAACCATCAAAATCTGAGCTTGGTACAATCTCTGCTAAGGTGTTCAGTTTCTATAGAAACAAATGGCTGTTTTATTGACTTTGCCACTCAATCTTCGGCACATTAAGATGCTAATTTGTTAAAAACAGCTCCATCGGCAAGGTGTGATCTTTCGAAACAGTTCAGTTAACCCCTGTCCCGAGGGAGGTGCGCAGGACTGCGGCATTGAGAGATCCACGGGGGCAGATACCTTTTTATTTTGATATACTACCGACCTAGTGGTTAACCTAGAGAAGAGATGACCGAGAGGGGATCCCATCAATACATATAAAGATCTCACAGGCAGGTGCCAAGAGGATGGTGCCAGACGCTTTTCAGTGGAGCCCAACGATAAGACGAGGGGCAATGGCCATAAACTAAACCCCACGTCCCACCTCAACACGAGGAAGAACTTCCTTACGTTGAGGGAGGCAGCGCACTGGAACAGGCTGCCTAGGGAGGTTGTGAAGTCTCCCTCTCTGGGGACATTCCAAAGCCCCCGGGACGCATTCCTGTGTCACCTGCTCTGGGTGACCCTGCCCTGGCAGGGGGGCTGGACTGGATGATCTCCAGTAGTGCCTTCCAACTCTGGCTATTCTGTGAACCTCCCTAAAGGAAGGTTGTGCAGGGAGGACGGACTATAAACGCAAGTAGAAAGGAAAGGACAGGGCCAGCCCCCGGGCGCAGGTACGGACGGGCGGTAGGTTTGGAGCAGCTACGGGTAGCGGGGTAAAACCCTGTTTTCCCCCCCAGGGTACCCACGGGGGCCAGCACAGCCTCACAGCACAACCCGTGCCCCGCTTCCTTCCTTCCTTCCTTCCTTCCCGGCGCCCCTCCCGCTCGGCGCCTCAGGGGAGCGGCGCGCGACGGCCGCGGGACCCGCTCCGAGCGCGGGGGGGAAGGGGGAGGCACGTGGTGCTTTACGTCCCTCGCGCGCAATGACGTCACCGCGCCCCGCCGCGAGGCCCCCGCGCCGAGCCAATCGGCGACGCGCTTAGTGGCGGGGGGGGGAGCAGCGCGCGCCAGTGAGCGCGGGGCTCGCACGCGCGCCGCCGCCGCGCGCCGGCCAGGCCCCGCCTTCTGCCCGGCGCGGCGCACGGAGGGCGGGGGAGGGGCGGGGGGGGAAGGGCCCGCTGGAGCCAAGATGGCGGCGCGTGCGTGAGCGCGGCCGGGCCCAGCTCCGAGCGCCGCCGTTGCGGCCGTTCCGCCCCGACCCGCGCCTGCAGCGCCGCGGCCGCCGAGAGCCCGCGACCCCGCCGGGGCGGCCGCGAACCACCCCGGCGGAGGGACGGAGGCCAAGCGCCCCCTCCCCCGCCGCCCCCATTGTGTGCCCGGCCCCCGCCCGCCCGCCTCCCGCCGCCGTCGCCGGGGAGGGCACCGGCGCGGAACATGACCTCGATCCACTTCGTGGTGCACCCGCTGCCGGGCACCGAGGACCAGCTCAACGACCGGTGAGGGGCGGCGGGGGGCGGAGGGGAGGGGAGGGGCCCCCCGGGGGTGTGGGGAGGGGCCGCGGGGCGGCGGGGGCAGCGCGGCCGGCCCGGCCCCCCCGCCGGGTCCCCGCGCGTCCCGCCCGCCCCGAGCGGCCTCTCCCGGCGGCGGCTTCGCCCCCCGCGGGGCTGAGGGGCCGCGACCTTCGCCGTGGGCCCGACGAGGGCTCCGGCCGGCCTGGGGAATCCCGGGGATCCCTGGCCCGGCAGGGGGGTTCCTGGGGATCCGTGGCCGAGGAAGTAGGTTCCCGGGGATCCCTGGCGGAGGAGCGAGAACGTGTCCGTGTTAATCGGGGATGGAGCGAGGCAGACAATGCGGGCGGGGGATCGCGGTGTGTGAGGGACTGACGGGAGCGGGGATAAAGGCGGCAGCGCTGTCACACACACCGCGGTGTGCGCTGCCTGCCCCGCGCACGGGCCGGGACTGGGCACAAAAGCAGGCCCGGTCTCCACATCAGCAGTGCTGTGCGGCTTTAGCTGGGGTGGGAATGACCGCTGCCTGTCTGAAAACATCGCAGCCAACTTTATGTAGCACTGGGGGAGAGAAATTGCAGGCTGGGGAGAAATTAGAGTGCTTGGGAGAAAATGAATCTATGAACCAAATTTTCTTCACTGCTTGACATGTATTTGACAGCTCTGTGTGGCTGTCAAATATTTCTTCCGTAGCACCTGCTAATGGTATGTGTAGTAGCTTGTAAATTTTACTTGTGTTCTTTTATACAGGGATTCTTAAAAAATCTGAAGAGTAAATCGATATCTTTAATCATCGCTGGATAGAAACCTAAATTTTTTACACTACGGATAAATGTAGACATTATTTAAATATTTATAAGCCTTAAAAAGTATGGGCTTTTGGTTATACTGTTCTGGTTTTGATCCTACCAGGTTTCAGAGTAGGCCAGAGTCCAGCTCGCTTCACAGTTGTTTGTAGTTAGGTCACTTCTCCTAGACCAGTCTTTGCTGAGCTGCCTCTTGAAACAGATGAGGTTTGAGAGTGTATAGTGAGGAAAATAGGTCGTTTTAAAACCAGAATTTCAGCCTAGCTACCTCATCCATGCCCTTAGAGGAGGAAAAGAAACTTATAAAGATAAAATAGGTCCAAATCGTGAAGTGTTTTAGTGTGGAGTGTATTTTTTTTCCTCTTAACCTGATAATATATTTTACAGAATTCTGTTTCCTTGGAGGCCTCCGCATTCCTAAGGGATTGATTGGCTTTGTCTGCAGTACTACATTTAAATTTGACATACACCATCTTCCTTTAGTGACAAACTGAGAGGTGATGCTGTACTAGGAGATCTTTTACTGGTTGCACTGTTTTGATTTGCAGTAAGATGTAGGACTTTGAACTTGAAAAGACTCCAGTGGATTTTCTTTTTTTTTTTTTTTTAATGTTGATAGACCCTTAGAAAATATTTAACATGTAATTATCACACTTTGCTCAGAGTGAGAGAGCTCATCTGTTTTTTCTTTAATGTCACCTGTTCTTTTGACTTATTGATGTAAAATATGATGCCCCTCCAGTCTTCCTAATGCTTCCTCGGTTTTTTTTTTAATTTCTTTTTTCCCTTCTTACCAGAGCAGTACTTCTTAAGACTACTATTTGACAGAGGAAGCTTCCTAATGTGGGGTAATTAATGTGTGGAGAAAGCTGCAGAAGTGCTGTTAAGTAGTGACTTATTCTGAAAAATTAAGCGGCTCCTTAATCTGATCTGCAAGTTAGAAATTTCCACTTCATAAATATAATTTTACTAAAAATGCAGTAGCTGTGTATCAGAACTTGTAATGCAGTGAAATCAGAATGATTCATAAGTAGGGTTGAGGCACACACATATGTGCTGGAAATGCCAGTTCAATTTTATCAGTAGCGTTGCTGCTTATTACTATTCTGTCAATGTAGATTGGGCTCCAGATAGCTTAATAAATTCTCATATACATACTCACAGATTTTAGGATCTTGAAACATCTCATGTCTCTAGGATCTTTCTTTCCTCTCTTTTTTGAGTCTCTGCTGCAGACAGTGGTCTGTAGCCCCTGACAGTGGTCAGTTAGTTTTTTGGTTTTTTTTCCTGTCTGTATTCTAAACGATAATTGTTTCTCAAAATCTGATTTTGGGATCATAATTCTGCATTATATGCTTTCATCTCTAGTGTACATAAAACATCAATTAGATTGCTTTCAGTAATGGATCTGTGTTCTGTATCTAAAGAATAGTCACATCTTAAAGCACAAGGCATTTATTGGTACAATCCCTGTGTGTTCAGGATACAGGACACTTTGGAATTTTTATAATCAAGTATTTGATACATTATGTTTAACATTATCAGTGTAGATGTGTGAAGAGAGTGAAGTGTGTTTGGAAAGTGTCCTCTCCTGAGGTATCGCTCTGCTCTTAAGTAGTCTCCGAGTAGTTTTTTCCAGTGTGGTTTGGTGCAGTTTCTCTCATTCTGTTCTACAGCTTTTATTTGGTTTTCTGTTTAATTTGCTATCCCTCCTATTCATGCAGCAACTCAGAGAATGGTAAAACACTTCAAAGAAAAAAGGAAAAAGGAACTGTAGAACCACAAATAATTGGAGGACTCCTGAGCATGCCTACTCATCATCTGAAAGTACTTCTTAACTAGTGTTTTTACAAATGCTGGTTAATACTGTACCTTGATGGTAGTTATTAGTCCTCTCTCAAATAAGCTGAAGCTGTGTAGGCTTCTTCACTCAGATGTCAGGGAACTGGTGACACTGAAGAGAGTTCATAGAGGACAAGGTTATACTTAATTTTGCAGTTGTGTTAGGATTCATTTTTTGAAATGAATAGTAGGCTAAGCTTTTGTTTATGATGAACTGAAGTAATTCAGCTTTTTCTGGTAAGTTTATTTAGGAAGATTGGTAACTCAGAATTTTTCCCCCGAGCAATTTGTTCTCTGTAAACTGAATGTGAAAAGTTTAATGGGAGAAAAATTGGGTATGGCTTGCAGTTTGAAAAACAACTCCATAGAGTATTTGCTATGTAAATAATTAATGGCTTTAATATTTGAGAAAGAGATGTCCAGCTTCTGTTGCATTGGGTGTCAAGTACATTTTGTTGATAATCCACCTCTTTTAGGGCAGGAGACTTTGTGCTTTGTTAAGGAAGTTTGGCACAATTTCATAGATAAATTAATCTCAGTAAATTCTTCTTAGTATATTTCTTAATTTTAAGTTGGGTTAGGAAGTGGGTGTGACCATGACAAATAGCCTTTTCTTGGCTATTAGGAAACCTCAGAGTAGCAGTTTAACTTGCTACTCTGTAGGAGAAGGGGAGTCTTTCACCTTGCATAAACAGCTCTCCATACATCAACTGACCTTCAGGGACAAGGTTCATCTCAAAGCTTTGACTTTGTCTTTACCTTGTACTAAGAAAATTCTTGTCGGCTAAGGCATTTAAGTCCTAATGTAGGGTAAGATGTAATTTTTGAAGTGGTCATTGACACAATGTTAATGTGCTTTTTTCTCTCCTCTTAAAGATGAGATGTAATGAATTTGGTTAAATAGAGGGTATTCTGAGTTTAAGATAAGTGTGAAGAAGTGCCATGTAGTAGGTTTTCTGTCAGTAAGGTCTTTGAAACCATTAGTGCAGCCAAGAAAAGTTCATTTGAAGCTTCAGTGAGTCTGTATGTACAGTCATCTTTGGGGGAAGAGAGGGGGATCTGGCTCTTATGTGACTTTCTTTTCCCTTAATAATATATTCAGTGCCTTTCTCTGTTATTTGAATATTACTTACTTTAGGCCTGTGCCTGAACTGAAAAATGAAGTAGTGTACTTTGCATTGCCTGTGTTGTTTCCATTCTCTGATAATCTGTTTCTCTGGAAAAAAGTCCTTTGCAAGAACATACCTTTTTAGTCTGTACATCATTTCAAGGTACTGTGAGTGATCGGTGGATATGTGGCTGCTACTCTGGCAGACATCCCCTCTTGCATTTACTGATGAGCAAATCTGTTAAAAATCTCAAGCAGATGTTGCTGGCAGGAGCTGGTGGAGGGTGTGGTGTGGCCGTGCAGGGAGCCAGCAGGGATGTGGAGCTGATGTCTGGGCCGTGCACAGAGAGGGAGAGAGAGCTCCTGATAATGAAGGTGTTTGTTTAGCCTTGAACTCCCTCTTGTACATCTGCAGGTGTACAGGGAGAGCACCTGCACTCTTGGGGAGAGGAAGGCAACCCCAGCATGAACTTCTCTGCTGTTTCTCATGTGTGATCTGCATTGCTGCCCAAAACTGGGGGGAAAAAGGGATTGACTGATGTGTTCCTAAATGGAAAATCTGCAAGTTTTGTGCAAATAATACAGTACTCCTTTTAGCTCAAGCGATTTATTTTGGTATGCTTTGAACTGTTTCCTAATCTGCTTTAGCATAAGTACAGGTAGCCTGCCACAAACAGGAATAGATGGTTTAATTAATGGGAAAACATAACTGATGATGTAGTACTTGAATTCCCTGAGTTACAGCTGCTTGATGAAAATTTACTAATGGGAGAAGCATTGACTTTGGTTTTAAGATTAATTTCTTGAAAGCATAACCAAATTTAAATTGACTTCTTTCAGAAGAGAGTGAGGGATAGGGTATGACTGTCATGGCATTATTATTATTGTCATCAGACTCTAAGCTGAAAAAACATTTTTACAAAATAAACTGTTCTGGCTGCATCAAAAGGTTTGCACACCACTGTGGTTATACAGAGTGTTACAGGATTCATAAATGCAGCAGCAGCGCATTAAGATTTGATTTTACTTCACTATTGTTATTTATGAACAATAATTTAGGAAATTAAGCATCAGAATTTACACATAAGCATCATTTCATGTCTGGTTGAATATGAAAAGTTACTTATACACAGGCCAATATTCTAGGCATTTTTGGACTTTGCTCTGCCAGGGTCCTCTTCTGGTTACAGTTGTTTGTCATGCCCCACATGCTGCTTTTTAGAGAGTCTATATGTAATAGTCTGTGAAGGTTCTTGCTGAAACTTTCCTGAGATGTTGTAAGTCACAGAAATTGCTCCCTTCTGAAGGCAGAGGTTTATTTTCCCCACCTCTTCTTACCTTGCACTAATTGTAAGTGTCTGATCCCGCAGGAAAGTGACTTAATTTGCTGAAATGATATAAAGATAGCCCTGGTTTATCTCTGGTTGGGTGAGCATCACAATAGATGGATAAGAAAGGGGGGATTTTAAGGTGCTGCAAGAGGGAGAGTTGGGAACGAAGAACAGGGAAGAGGAAGCAGGGTTGAGTTCCTTCCATTTTGAAAGCAGCAAGTTTATTTTGGCTACTGTAACGTGAAACTGTACTGTGAATGTGATCTGGGCTGAGAGTAGTTGTGATCTGTCACAAGGAATTTAGTAAAATAGTAATTGGGGCACAAATGTTGCTTCTTTTTGTGTTCTCAAATCATATGTGAGGTTTGAGCATATCTGTTGTTAGACCAATGATAAAGTAAGATTAATGGACTAAGATATCAATAGCCATGTTATAGGGTTGGCACTGAAAGTCAGAGCTGTCAGAAAATAACTTTTTAAATTCTAACAACAGTAAGGTATCAGTCAAAAACATTTATGTGCTATATATTTGTAAAAGCTAAAAACTATAAACAATAACATACAATTGAGGTAGTTTTTTTGTAGAGTATTATTTATTAAATTTTCTAATTGCCATATAGAATGTTTGTAAAAAACATCCTTCTTGAACTATCTAAAGTACATAACTATTGAGTATACAATTATATCTACATGAAAAATGACCTGACAGTTGAAGAAAAACAACCAAGGATGTACCTAAGCTTGGCAAACTCTGCAGTGTGTTTACCTGTGTTTTCACAGTTATGGCACAGTTAATCACTGGTGACTTAAATTGATGGTAGTAGGTATCTGAAAGTTACATAAAGAAGAGAAGGGGGTTCAAGGTATTTTATTGTAGTGATTACACTAGCAGCAATCTAGGTAGCTAAATTTGTAAGATGCTTCTTGTAAAAGCTGCTGTTTTTTCTCTGCGTCAACTCAACAACCACTTACACAGGAAAAAAACATAAACAAAAACTACTTGTGCTTTTACATTTTTTTTTAAGCTTGGATTCACTGAAGTCCACTAAGGATTTGTCTCTTAAAAACAACTTCACATAGAGGACTGCAGTGGTTGGTGTCTGTATACGCCCCAGAGAGAACATGAAGACAAGGCCTGGTTGTAGTGACAAGAGGACTGTAAATCAAGAGGAATCATTTGGAGAAAAAAATACTGAAATAAATGTGCAAATGTAATTTTCAGGGTGCACGTGTATTTTTTCCGAAACTGTAAGCCTGACAGTTTAAATGAGGATGAACACAGCATTAGTTACTCCACTACAGGAATAATTATCCGGACTTCAGATCTTATTTTCTCTTTCTGGCATAGAATTATTTTGACAATAAACTCTGTACTCTATTTCTTAAAGTCTTTCTGTCCTTAAAAAAAGCAGTCAACCAACCTTGCTTCCTTTTCTCTTACCCTTCCCCTCCAAGGAAAATTAGCATTTTGTTTCAATTTAAAGAGTTTTTTGTTTTATTTGGGAGAGAACATGTACTCAGTGATACAAAGGTATGAAGTTTGACAATTCTAAATGGTTGAAAGACTTTGTAAAACTGAGTAGAAGGTGTAAGGTGGGAGCACTGCTCATCTGCTGATTTGGTTCCGCTTGAGGAGCAACGTGACTGTAGAATTTGCAGTCTTTGAAAATTTTGTCTTCATCTCACGAGTCTCACTGCTACAGCCAGCATGAACTGTGTTGGAACTTCTCACTGTCACTGTTGTTTTATTGCCAGCCATGAGATCTGCCGGTTTAGTTTGTGACAGCAGTAGTGTAACTCAACAGATGAAGGTACCAAGGCTGCTGGAGACTTCAGGAATCTTAGGAAATTTGTCTTCAGCAAAACAAAACCCCAAAAAACAACCCAAATTCAGGAGGGTGTGTTTTTTTTGTTTGTCAGAGGGGTCAGTTGGAAGTATCTCTAGTAATTGAGGGTGGTTATACCCATGCAGCTGTAGTTTACCTGTTCACTAGAAGATAGCCCAGAAGGAAACTCTGTGCTCTGTACCAGGTCTTGGTGGTGTTACTTTGTGCAGCTGTGTTTGCCCTCATCTCTAGTTAAGCTGGATGCTAATTTTGTTTTATTTTCTATGCACTGTAGATGTCATAGTTGATTAGTTTAAGACAAGCCTGTGTTAAAACAGCATTTTAAAAATTTGCTTACAATCTTGCATTATACTTCATAATCTATTGTCCATTAGGTTTCCCTAAACTCACCTTTTTCACCTCTGGGGTAGGTTATCTCTATATATGTAGATAGTTCTGATACAGTAAGATATTTTTTGATTGGGATCTCTGGATTATACTAAAAATTGTAATTTCACTATGTAGTTTTCAACGTGGAATCTGACGTTGACTTAGCATAGACAAATGTTTGTGCTGCAGGGTTTTTACCAAAAGCTTAACTGGAAAATGAATACTTGCACATGTGAATGAAGTTGAATGTAGACCTTACTCTGTTGTCATTTGAAGCCATTGGAATCTGTCACTTCCTTCAATAATTGTGGTATAATTTTAATCTCTTGTTCATTTTGCAAAATTAATTTTCTTGAATGTGTCTCTCAGTGTTTATTCTTTCATTTATGGTATGAGATTTTGTTGTACTCTATGCAGCCTGAAAATGATCAGGCCTGCATTTTTTTCTCTTTCTAGTAAATATCAAGAGATGTTATTCTAAAGAGGATTTATGGCTTTTAATCTATTGTATATTTTTTTAATATAAATGAGTTATTGTTGTCTGACCTCTAATGAAGACCTCTTAGGTTGTTGGAACTCTCTTTCCTTTGTCTTTGACCACTATTAATACATTAGTAACAGCAGTTTTTCCTTTCTCATTTTCTGCATTTTTTTTTATTTTTAGTAAGGCATTGTATACACAATTCGCTGACTTTGACAAAATGTATCTGTCTCTAGAGCAGTAATTTAAAGGTACTTAATAAAGTGTTCCAATGATATGGATCATCCCATATTCTTGTCATTGTGGGGCAGATTGGGTAGGCAGAAGGTAATCTGACAATTATTGCCCTGCTCCTCATGGGGAGGCTGGGGAATAACAGGCTGTTTGCTGGAGCGGCTGAAGCTTTGTTTCTTTCTCTTATGGTGCAGAATCTGTATCTGGCAAGATTGTTACCTGAAATATGATGGCTGTAGGCAAAATGTGAAGCAGGAGGTACTAAAGCTGCTGCTTCACAAGGTCTTGTAGAGGAACCAAACACTGGTTACTCTGAGGGGAAGCACCTGGAGTTTCGTGGCTGGGGTACGGACAGATGGGAAAGAGAATCTCTTTTCAGCAGTGCAAAGTGTTGTGATGAGCTGTGCACCTCAGAAACTGGGCTTTCTTTCGAGTTATTTTGCCTGTACTGTGCATCTGACAAAGCAATTTGGCCGCTTGTTTTTCTGGCGTGGTGCTCGCTCTCTACTCCTTATGCCAGGCCTCGTTCCATTCCTGTCTAAATCAAAGATAGAATGTCTTGAGGAGCGTTTTGAAGATGTGTGTTTAGTGGAAGACACTGTGAGGAGGGGAGTCTGTGGTATTTAAAAGGCAGTTTTTAACAAGTTTGGAAAAGTGACAGATGACACTGTGATGTCAGAGTTTTTGTTGAATACTTCAAGGCTTGGAATTGGAGGAGTTGGCAAGTAAAGGACTGGACATGCTAAATGATCTTTCCCTGTTGCTAAAACTAATTCAGCATGAGAATAAGCTCATTGGACCTCATTGCAAAGCAATTAGAATTCAGTTCTTGTTTGTGCTTTGTTTTTAATAAAATCACTTGTACAAAACATACAGTTGCTTTTCTCTAGCCAAGACACAAAGTATTTAATAATGTGAGAGTTCTTACTTTTAAAAATATTTTTATAGCATTTGAATGCTCAAATCAAAGGCCATTTTCCAACTTTGCACCAAGTGGTCATGGCTTCCAAAAGCTTAGAGCAAAGGAAAATGGTGGAGAGATTATGATGTATGTTCTTGCAGTAGCCTCAGCTGGGACCAGAACCTGTCTCCAGGTTTTAAGCTGGTATGCTGGTAGATTCACAGCCTCCCTGGTGGCTCATAATTAACTCCTGAAGGAGCATTAACAATCTTATCATGATGGGACCCAAAAAGGTTTTAAGATTTTCAATGACTGGATTTTTATTTTGATAGCAATTTTTTTTAGTGGAATCACTACAGCAGTGCTCTGACAGTAAAAAATAAGATGTTTTTCCTTCTTTGCCTAAATGTGGTCTTTAAGTTTCTCTCATTCTGGTTAAACAAGTGTACAGCTTCGTAGCTACATTTGGTGGCTAACATATGTATGCTGTTCATGTAGTAATGCTGGCTCATGTTATTATCATGTGTTCAAGTATCCTTGAACCATGGGGTTCTAAATTCCCATTATACACATTTCATTGTCACAAGAGGATGTACTTACTGAAATGATGGATAGTTAAATAGTTTACAACCTCAGTTGTTTTCAGATTCAGAACTCTCGCCCAACTGAGGTGGTTGATGC